GAGGTAAGTTTTCTTGAGGGGAAGGAGTAAAATCCTCATTTTTCTTCTAAGTTTTTTCATTTTCTACATCTTAAATGTTCTACAACAGCTTAATGTTTTCTTTGTGTGTTCTTCAATTTTATTTATTATATCTAGGAGTGAAGATGACCAATGAGCCTCCCAAAGGACTCCGTTCCAATCTCTTACGCTCCTACACCAGTGATCCAATTTCAGATGGCTCTTTTTTCAATGGTTGTAACAAGGTAAAGGAAATGAAAAGACAATAAGACTGGTCAACATTGTACTAGTGTGGATCTAGAAGTCTCGTAAACTAATACTCACAACTGTTTTGTTTTTAGTTAAAGACTTCTCAAGAAACGTAATAATGAAATTGCTTGGTTTAACAGCCCTAGCTACATTTTTAATTATCTCCGATGAAAAAGTAATTAACCAGTTGTTTTAGTTTATATTACATTTATAAACAAAAGTGGATTTAAAGAAATTGGTATTAATATCCCATTAAAAACACAAATAATAAACAAATACTGTTACGTCAAAATAACAAAATACAAAGAATTGGTTAAAATTTCAAAAAGAGAAAAATATTTATGGGGGCATCTTTGTTTATGTATTTTTGTTTTTTTGCCAATCAACCTCATAAATATTCTCCATTTCAGTATATTTTCAGCTTAATATCTCATTAATTCAAAGAAAAACTTTTAAATTAGTGTAGCAGTTTTTATTTTATTAATTTTTTAAATATTTTAAGGAAATTGTATTAACTAAGACACTTACTCGATGGGAAATGTAACTTATTTACCCAAATTTAAGACATCCTCGAGTTTAAGGTGACTTTATTTTTCCCAAATGAGAAATACATTTTTTTATATAAAAAATGTACAGTAGACCTAAGTATTAATAAGACAGTACTGTAATGCAGGTAAGACAACTTCAACAAAGAATGGTGAAAAATAAATAGAATTTTTTGTGTAAAACATACGTTTCACATTTGCTAAAAGATTGCCAAATTTCCTGTAGATATACAAAGTAAATTTGGAAGTGTAATATTCGGGTACTTAGGTTAAAGTAAATAGGCACTTATTATATTTCACAAAAGCCATGACTGAGCACGTTCTACTTTACTTAGATCATAGTCTGCAAATAAAGGGCACGTTCTACTTTACTTAGATCACAGTCTGCAAATAAAGGGCAAGTTCAACTTTACTTAGATCACAGTCTGCAAATAAAGGGCAAGTTCTACTTTACTTAGATCATAGTCTGCAAATAAAGGGCAAGTTCTACTTTACTTAGATCACAGTCTGCAAATAAAGGGCAAGTTCTACTTTACTTAGATCACAGTCTGCAAATAAAGGGCAAGTTCTACTTTACTTAGATCACAGTCTG